ATATAGTATACAAAATGCAAAATCAGAAGATTTTAGGTCCTTCATGCTATGTGTATAATGTGTATACGACTTCCATCTTTAGACTTGAGTTTCATCCCATCTCCAAGGTCTCTCCTTATGTCTATGTAAATATTCTAAAATCCAAAACACTTCTGGTTCCATCAGTTTGGCTAAGGGAGACTCAGCCTGTATCATCACTCTCAACCAGAAATAAATTCCCCAGCTGGGTGCCCTCCCAGTGCAGGTGGACTACAACTCCCACTATCAACCAAGCAGCTGGGGTAACGGGAGCTGTAGCTCAAAACATCCAGGGACCTTGGGCAGTGGCCAAAGCTAGTACCACTCAGCACACATTATCAAAGCTCTGCTTTCCTAAAAAGGTTGCATCAACACTGCAGAATTAATGCAGGCTGGCACCACTTTAACAGCCATGGGTCAATGCCATGGGATCCCGGGAGCTGTAGTTTTGTGAGCTATTTAGCCTTCTTTTAGCTAGAGAGCCAGTGTGGCGTAGTGGTTTGAGTGTTGTACTAGGACTATGGAGGCCAGAGTTCGACTCCCAGCTCGGTCACAAAATCAACTGGGTAACCTTGGGCAAATCACACTCTCTCAGCCTCAGGGGAAGGCCATGGCAAACCCCCTCTGAAGGAATCTTGCCAAGAAAACCTCATTATAGTGTTGCCTTTGTTGTTGTGTGCCTGTAAGTCCTTTCCAACTCATGGAGACCCTAACCCAGTGATTCCCAAACTCTGGTCATCCAAGTGTTTTGGACTTCAACTTCCAGAAGTCTCAACTGTCTTCGTTAGTGGTCAGGGATTCTGGGAGCTGAAGTCCAAAACACCTGGAAGGCCAGAGTTTAGGAATTACTGCTAAGGTTTGCTTGGCAAGTTTCTTCAGGAGTCTGCCATGGCCATCCTCTGAGGCTGAGAGAGTGTGACTTACCCAAGGTCACCCAGTGGGTGGCCTTAGGGTTGCCGCAAGTCAGAAATGACTTGAAGACACACAATAGCAGAGGCTGGATGGCCATCTGTCGGGGATGCTTTGATTGGGAGTTCCTGCATGGCAGGGGGTTGGACTGGATGGCCCTTGTGGTCTCTTCCAACTCTATGATTCTATGATTCTATGAATACACAGACACTCAGAAAGAGCTCTAGTGCCACAACAAAGTACAAATCCCAGGGTTCCATAGGATAGAGCCATGACAGTTATAGTGGTATGAAACTGCATGAATTCTGCAGTGTGGCAGGGGCTTTATCCAATGAAAGGGTCTCCTCCTCCTTTGCAGAGTAGTGCAAACCTGCTCCATGGCTGTAAAAATTGCTGCCACAACAAACTACAAATCCCAGGGGTTACATAGGATGGCACCATGACAGCTAAAGCAGGATGAAACTGCAATAATGCTGCAGTGTGGCAGGGGCCTTATCTAATAAAAGGGTCTCCTCCTTTGCAGAGTAGTGCAAACCTGCTCCATGGCTCCATAAATTGCTGCCACAACAAACTACAAATCCAAGGGGTTCCATAAGATAGAGCCCTAACAGTTATAGTGGTATGAAACTGCATGAATTCTGCAGTGTGGCAGGGGCCTTATCCAATAAAAGGGTCTCCTCCTCCTTTGCAGAGTACTGCAAACCTGCTTCATGGCTGCATAAATCACTGCCACAACAAACTACAAATCCCAGGGGTTCCATAGGATGGAGCCATGACAGCTAAGGCAGGATGAAACTGCAATAATGCTGCAGTGTGGCAGGGCCCTTATCTAATAAAAGGGTCTCCTCCTTTGCAGAGTACTCCAAACCTAAGCCATGATTGCATAAATTGCCTCCAATCTCCCTTTACCTCCACCACTTGAACCCAGAACCTCCCTCTCTGCGCCTTCAGGCTCCCTCCCTTGGGATTTTGTCCCCTTGGCCCCGCCTCTCACGCAGCGTCAAGGGGCGTGGCTTCTCTGCCGCCGCCGGGGCCTGGGACCCGGATGGCCGTTTAGTCGGTGCTTAGACGCCGAGGCTGCCACATCGGCCTTTGGACAAATTCACGAAGCAGGGGGAGGGGGGGAGAACGTAATCCGCCTCCATCCTCCGTCTGGGACACCCTTCCGCCCCCAGAGAGCTCGTATCCGGATAGAGCGGACCGAGCCCGATCTGAAGAGGTAAGCCTTGGCCTGGGACGTCCCCGGGAAGCCATTCTCCTAGCCGCCCGAAAAGCGGCGCTCGCGGAGGGAAAGAGAACTGAGTCGGGTTGAGCCGGTGGAACGTTCAGGCCTCCGCCATTTTGTGCCCTGTTTCAGCCGCTTTGGTTTCTGGCCCCAAACGGAATCCGTGGCCATCCGCCCCTCGGGCCTCGCTTTCCTCTGCCTCGGGTTGGCCCAGCCTTTCGCCCAGGGCTGCCTCAGGGTTTTGGCGGTGGGTTTTTGCCCCAGTCGAGGATATTTGGGCCTTTAATGGTGACCCGAAATAAGGCCGCCTAGAAAGAAGGGAGAGAGAGAGAGAGAAAATGGAGGGGGGAGGGCTTAGAAACAGAAACAGGCCTTTGCCTTGAGCCATTTACACCCCCTCCACAGACCCCAAATTTGCCCCCCAAAAACCCTGCTCAGGTAGATAGGGGTGAAAAATAGAAATCCCTCATAAAGAAGGGGAAAGAAACAAGGCCTTTAGAAGGTTCTGGGTTCAAGTGGAGCTCAGTTTTAAGACCTCATTTTATGGCCTGTCCCTTAATATTGGAGGGCGAGGGTCTCCTTATAAGACTTAAAGAAAATATGGGACTAAGGTCCAGGATGGGCTTGGGGCAGGTGTTGGGGGGCAGGTGGAGAGGGGGTTCAAGAGCTACCCCACTTATTTAATCTCCTAGTATCCATTTTTCTGGATATTAAGGCTGCATTTTGGGGTCTCTTTAACTTTGAATGGGGGGAGTCTTAGGAAGGAGATGGGGGGCTATAGGTATGGGGCAGGTGTTTTGGGGGGGTTTCAAGAGCTACCCCAGTTGTTTAACCTTCTAGTATCCATCTTTTCTGGTGGTTCAGAAATAGTAAGGCTGCATTTGGGATGGGTTTTTTGAGGGAGTAAGGGGTGCCACTGAAACTGGGAAAGAAGGAAAAGATTGCCTTGGTTATCTCTCACACACACACACCCCACATACACCCAATTTCATTATATATCTATATCTATATATACATATATATATACACACACACATTACACATATTCCCATATAAAAATATGGGAAGGAGTCTGGGGTCAGGGATGCCACTGAAACTGGAAACGAAGGAAAAGATTGCCTTGGTCATCTCGCACACACCATACATATCCCCAACTTTCTATATATAATGTATATATATATATTATATATAATATTTATATAATACATATAATGTATATTAAATTTTATATGTATATATATACACACACACATATATACATATAACACATATTACAGGGAAATTATATACATATATATATATATATATAATTTCCTTGTAATATACGTTATATGTATATATAGACTTAAAACAACAAATATGGCATCTTCAACTGAAATTAAGGTGGAGCTGGGGCATTAATTTGCTTTATTTTTTATGGAAGAAGGGGCAAGAAACGTAAAGGTCTGTTTTGAATCTGAGAATTGCCACTGAAACTGAAAAAAGAAAAGATTGCTTTGGTATCTCATTTCCCCCACGTACACACACATACACACCTAATTTCATTCATATATATATATATATAGAGAGAGAGAGAGAGAGAGTTATACATTATATACATACACACACACATATATTTAAATAATCTGAAAACCAAATATGGCATCTTAAACTGAAATTAAGGTGGAACTGAGGCATTAATTTGCTTTATTTTCAGGAAGTGGAGGCAGAAAGGTAAGGGTCTGTGGTTGAATCAGGGTTGCCACTGAAACTGAAGAGGAAGGAAAAATTGCCCTGATATCTCACCCCTCAATACACCCAGTTTCATTTGTGTGTGTGTGTGTGTGTGTGTGTAATCTTAAAACCAAACATGGCATTTTAAACAGACTAAGGTGGAGGTGGGGCATTAGTTTGCTTTATTTTCAGAAAGGGAAGGCAGAAATGTAAGGGTTTGTGAATCTGAGGATTGACACGAACTGAAGAGGAAGGAAAAGATTGCCTTGTTATATCATACCCCTAATTTCAGTATATTTAAAACCAAATATGGCATCTTCAGCTGAAGTTAAGGTGGAGTTGGGCATTAATTTGCTTTATTTTCAGAAGGGGAAGGCAGAAATATAAGGGTCTGTGGTTGAATCTGAGGATTGCTTGATTCTCCCATTGTGTTTTGCCTTTCTTGCCATAGCCGGTAGGCAAGGGATGGGAGTGATTTAATTTGTCTCAAATCCAAAATGTCACTAAAATGTGTGTGTGTGTGTTGCGGTGGGGGAGCATCACTGTTTCATCCCAGCATACTTTCAGTAGTATCACATTTAATTGGAGTAAGGAGATCAAGTTAATTTGAACTCCATATCACTGGAAAAGAAAAGCGCACATACATACACACACACATTTCTATCACGCACCCCCTCCCTCAAGTAGGTTTGGATTTTTCGAGTAGATTTTTGGCAGCATAAAGCTATTAGAAAGATCTAAATCTATTTGAGGGAGAGGAGAGTTGCTTGCAAGAAATGGGTTTTGAAAGCATATTGTAATGCTCCTGAGGACTATATCATTAATTTAAAAATCAATTTCTGCCTCCAGGCACAGTCTGATATTTAAAATAAAATAAAATTTAAATTTAAAATATTTTAGAGAGAAAAGACCAAATGTTGGAATAGATGAAGGGAAGCCCGGGGGGGGGGGAGGTGTGGCAGGTGTTCTCTTAAAGATTTTAGGCAGCATTAATATTTGGGAAATGTGTTGCCTCTTGGTTGCCTACTGTTACAGCATTTAGAAAATGAGAAGCTAGTTATTCTCAATTTGAAGGGAGTAGATACCCTAAATAAAAGCTGTACTGAAGTTGCAGCCCTGCTGTAATTGTGAGATGAACCATTGCGACTCACATAAAAGGCCATTTTACTGCAGCTGCTCTTTAAAATCTGAACTGGTCCAAAATCCAGGATGGCTTTTATCCTGGTATTGAAATGGCAGTGAAAAATCTGGACGTGTTACAGCTGGACAGCTGACACCAATGCTTAAGAGGTACAGTATGTTATTTCTTGAAATCTGGTCAATAGGAATTCTTTCTGTTTAGGGCAGATAAGCAAAATCTCCTTGAGGATAGTGCTGAAATCAGGGGTGTGCCTTTGGTGAAAGGGAAGACTGGTAAGTCGATATAAAACCTTGTGTTTTGTTGTAGCACTCTTAAGCACAAAATTGATGACGGGGAGGGGGGAAAGAATCCCCTTGCCGTGTGTGGTTAACAAAACATTTAATAGGGTCTCATAACCTGTGCTGCAGTTTGGAGGGGTGTGTGAAATAACACAGAATTAATTTAAGCTTAAAAGCGGAGTTTGAATTTCCCAGCATTGTAGCAGGAAGGTGGGATGGTGGTGGCTTGTGAGTGTGTGCTGACACACACAAGAAAGGAAGCAAATATGGCTCCTTTTCATTTCAGA